TCCCTCCAGAAAATTTACCATTCTGATCTTCCATTGAGGATATTCCTCTCGTTGAAGAGTTGGCGGCTTTGTGAGGGAGCCAACATTGTACGCGGAATTTCAGTTGGCCATTGAAAATTTTGGAGAAGAAGAAAAAGTTTTTGACGAGAAAGAAGATCAATAATTTGAGAGATTTTGAATGATCGTTTTGATTAGATAATCAATCAATAGGCTCTGATACCAATTGTTGTTCCCAGATCTCTCAATAATACTAATAATCTAGTTATGAATAACCAAATTATAGTGATTTAATGAAGAAAGTTATGAAGTCTCAAAAATAAAATAAGAATATTTAAGAACAACTTTGAGCTTCAAAGGTTTTACTTTATARATTCATAAACGTAAAACAACGAGTAAAAGYCYTATTTTTACAATAGACCTAATCATCTATTTATACTAAACGACTATTAATAAGATAACTATCTAATGCTACTTTCTAGCAAATCGTCTATCTAACAGATAGGGTTTATCTTTCACATGGATAAACATTAACAATAAGATAAACTCGAATTCCAGCTGTTGATTTGTCATCTCCAGCTATCATTCATGGTATGAAGATTTCACCCTTATCTTCAAATCTTCATTGCGTGCTTGGATGCAGTGCTGGAAAATCTTCTAAGTGTTGTTTGTCCAGAGGATCGATGAGAATGCTTCTTTCCATCGCATCCTTGAACTTGTCCATTGATCCTCTGGTTGAACTTGTCCATCGGTCCAATGGTTGAACTATCCATCGATCCAATGGTTGAATTCCAGACTTAGTCGATTCTGCCTTGATGTCTTCATCGGTCTTCTGGTTCTTCATCACTTGTTGTTTTTTATTACTTTTTACATCATGAGTTATGGGGTTTAACAGTATTCATCCCCTCCTCTACAAACTGATTACCTATAAACTCTTGTAGATCCGGCTGGGACCAACAGAAAGCTAGATGGTTTGAGTGTCTAACTCACTAATAAGGGTTTGTGCAAACCTTGCCCAATTGTGAGAAAGAAGGAAACCTTCCATGATCGAATAGATTTCCATGTGCTCCAAGGAATCCGAATTCATAAACTCGGACATGAATTTTATTTTCATAGTCATTGTGAATGGCTCCCGATCCACGATCAACTTCCCCTTGCTCTCTTTGAAGATATAGGGATTGTCTTCAATACCCAGCAGGCATCGCCACCGACAGGCACCATCATCTCTCTCGACCGATCGATTGAAGAACGATCGATGACTACAGAAGACAGTTCCCTCGCTGAATCACTCCTCAATCTTTTTTGCTCCGACCTTAAAGTCGGCTTGTCTTTTCGAACTCCTCCGGATAAGAGGGGTTTACTCTTCCCTCTGTTGCACCTTTAGCGGGACCCCCTGTTGACTGCAGAAAATGTATTAACCAATTGAAAAGAATAACCCACGAGTTATTGTCATGGTTACACAGAAATCTATGACAAAAAGATCCTTAATCTTTCCGTTGAAAGTTTCTGAGCAAACTTACCAGATGCGGTCCCGAGTTCTTCCTCCTCCATAGCCTTAGAGCTGGAAGGAGTGACCTCCTCACATACCTGTCCAGGCATGGGAACATAACTTTAGTCCTTGATTCGGTTTCTCATGCAAACCGATTCAATTACCAAGTACTAGATTGAATCCTTAATATCCATGTGTCACAAACCCCTGAAGAAAATTTCTTTTCGCACGAGATTTGAAATTCAAACCAAGGTATTCTGAATATAAATCTCGGGGGGCAAACTATGTTGGTAAAAAATCACACCCTCGACCGATGATGATATTTCCCTCAACTATAGCGTCAGTAACCAAGATTCATAAGACCAACAATCATACCAGCTATGGTCGTGGGTATCCTCAACAACATGACCCTTGACTCATGGACGAGGATAATTCACTTTCGACCCCTGGTCGACAATTACATATCTACGATTATATATCCACAATCGAAGTTTTCTTTCGACGGATATATATATATATATATATATATATTAATGACTTACATTATTACATCGACCATTACCTATGGTTATTATTGTAGGAATAAACACGCTTGTGCTCATTAACTCAGAAGATCATAACATCAAAGCTAAGATTCAAGACAATTCATTACAAATGATTTTCTTCATTCAATGCCAGTCATAGTCGACCGTTGGCCCTATCCTACGGATCAACTATAAAAAGCTAGGAGATGACCAGAAAGAAGACATGAACCCTCAAGAACTCACTCATACACAAAGATTATTCATATAAACATATTGTTATTTACTATTTCCCACGTCTGACATATTAAATTGCATATATGATATTGTAAGTTTTCCAAAGGACAACATCGTTGCTTAACGTCCATAGTGCATCGATTATCTCCTGTATCATCAACGATTTTTTCCTTGTTTAAGGGTTTTTCCGCATCACCAATTCTCTTGTCTCATTGTTTATTATTTTTCTTGTCCTTATTTGAATGTGGTTAATCTTTAGTTGTTAAAGTTCCACAAACAAACCTCAAATTATACTTAGTGTAATTTTTGACATAAACAATCACTATGAGTGAGATTAAGATTATGGCAAGTGCATGACGTATATAATCCTTTTGGATTAACTTCAAGACACAACCTAGACTGAGAAATCAAAACCTGAATTCCCAAAATTAGAACTCAATACTCAAAATCGGAACACAAAGCAAAATTCAAGATATCAAAACCAAGAGAACTTCAATTTAAATGATGAAAAATGTATCAATGGCCTTAAGTACCAGCTCTGTGCATAGAAAGAGGGGTGAACCAAATTCTTCTTTGAGTGATTACACCTACAGATTTTCGACTTACCTTAAGGAAATTGAATGGACACTTGGAAAATTGGAACCTTGAAAAGTGGGCTCATCATGTTGCAACCAAGTCGAACAGAGGTGTAAGTTTAGATGATGAGAAGCATTCCATCTATTATGGGTTAAGAAAGTTAGGCCTTTTCTTTATAACTTGTAAATTTGGGCCTAATGGCTGTAGGCTAAATGTGTATCTATTTTTGATTCAATTTTGTATAGACTTTCATTCAACTAAAACATTTTTTAGATAATAAGATAAACTAAAAGATTCCCATAGAGTATAAAAAGCCAAAGGTTGCTAGAGTTATCATAAGGTAGAGTATATGGGTCATGTAATGGGTTTGTAGTATGTTGTATGCATGAATGAACCAAGAATTGATGAATGGGACTTGATCTTCTAGTTTTGATGCATAGTTCTTTTTGGGAAGAGTATTATTGTTCTGTTTATTCTTTTCTTCCTTCTTCTCGTTCAACAATAGTGCTACATGCTTTTTAGATTATTTGTTCTTGCAGAAACTCATGTCCTCACTTTTTTGTGTCGTTTATGGTGCTCTAATGATTTTTTTTTCTTACAAGTTCATTAATCTTAATGGAGTTGTAAACATGACTTAGGGGCTGTTTGGTAGGCTCTTAATGGTTACATTAAGAGCCAATCGCTGAATCGGTAAGAGGTTGCAAGTGTTTGGCAAAAAAAAAAACCACCTCTTAATGGTTACAAACACCTCTTAACCATTTTGCATCTGGTACCTCACTCAACCATTCAGATCCTTCTTTTTCCAATTTTACCCCCTTCCTCGTCGCTCACAGCTCCTCCCCCACCCTCTCCTTCCTCTCGTCGCCGGTTACCCTTCCCCCCATCTCCATCGCCGGCGACCTTCCACAGCTTCCATCGCCGACGACCTTCCACAGCTTCCGTCGCCTTCACTGAGTTCACGTCACCTTCCCAGCTTCCACCATCTCCGTCCCCGTCTTCGGTTGTCGCTCGACCGATGATAGCCTGTGAGACTCCACAGCTTCCATCGCCAGCGACCTTCCACAGCTTCGATTAGGTTTTCGCCATCGCCCCTCGCCATCGCCGGTCACCTGTTGCCTTCACGAACTCGTCGCCCAGCGTTCGGGAGCCACAAATTGGACCCAACGTACACACCCAGTTGAATCCAACCAGATTTTGGTTAGGGTTTTGGTTTTTTTTGTTTATGATTAATGAAGCAGATTGGCAATCGATGAAGCAGATTTTGGTCAGGGTTTTCGTTCTTGATTCTTGAATCGATGAAGCAGATTGGTTAGGGTTTTCGTTCTTGATTCTTGAATCGATGAAGCAGATTGGTTAGGGTTTTCGTTCTTGATTCTTGAATCGATAAAGCAGATTGGTTAATCGGCCCTAACACATTATCCAACTTCAACTTCAAAGAAAATGTGAATGAGGGTTAAAATGGTAATTTACTGTCATTCATATAACAATTACCAAACAACATTATTTCATTCAGTACTTAACCATTCTGGCCCTCTTAACCATTCTGACCACTTAACCATTCTACACCAAACCATTCAGCAACTGCCAAACAGCCCCTTACAAAACATATTCTTATGGAGTTGTAGTTAGTTAGTGTTCAAAGGGTTGTGTGCATGAATCATTGAGAAGAAACAAATTAAATCACAAACTATTATGGCAAGACGACCAGTGTGACAATTGTAAATTGGGATCTATCTGTCATTCTCAAAGTGTATATATATATATATATATATATATAGGAAGGATCATGTGAAGTATAAAATGTAAGTTTTTAATATTGGGCTCATTTTAATGCATCATGAAATGATTATAGTGGTATAATATATAAAAACTAAATGTAATTTTTAATATATTTTAATTCATATATGATTATGTATGTTAATATAATAAAGGTGTAAAATTAAAAATGAAAAAGTAAAGGACATAAAGTAAATTTAATAACTAGTTATAAAAATATAAAGTATAGTTTAAAAACTAAAACATTTTGTTTTTAATATTATCTGGGAACCTAGTAGTTTAAAAATCACAATTTGTACACTAAACTGTTATCCAAGCTTTATTAATATAGTATGGATATAATATAGTGATAGAATACCAATTGGTAGTTGGCCTTTGATATAATATAGATACAATATGTCAACTTCAAGTGGTAAAATCAAGTAAATTTTTAAACATAAATATACACATAAGTGCTTTCTCACGACCTATCTAGGAACTATCTCCGTTATTGAAACATCATTTACTGAATATTGGGATGATCTCGATCTTGATTTTGACATTTTATTTTTTTCTAAACCACTGCTCCCTGTCGACCGAAGTGTACTCTTGAAGGAGTGGCATTTCAGGATCAATGCTACTACGCATGAAAAATGCAGGCTCTGATGGCATTGAAAGCGTGAGAGAGAAGCTATTAAGCATAAGAACAACTGAAGCCATGGTCGGCCTATCAATAACATTTTCTTGAACGCATAATAACCCAATATGAATACATCTAATGATGTCACGCAATGAACCTGATCCCGTCTTCAATGTGGGATCTATCATATTTGACGTTGTCCCTTTCCGCCAACATTTCCACGCCTAAAAGAAAATAAGAATTTGTTAGCTCACAAATAATTAACATGATTACGTTGTGTATATATGTTGTTTTAGGACTTAAAATGGAAGGGTGGATACTTACAAAGCTAAGAAGGTCTTCAATGTTTTCTCCTTCTCGAAAACATTGGTTCTTTTGACCTGTTACCATCTCTAACACCAGTACTCCGAAGCTAAAGACATCTGATTTTACCGAGAATTGGCCATGCATGGCATATTCTGGTGCCATATAACCACTATACAAGAGAATAGATCAACAAAAAAGACAGGCACTTGTACAAGTTTCATAAAGTTCACCTATAAATTTTATCTGATGAAAGTATACTTACTAGGTTCCCACAATTCGCTTTGTGTCGCCTTGAGTTTCCTCAGGTTTAAACAACCTTGCCATGCCAAAATCTGCAATTTTAGCGTTCATTTGTGCATCTAATAAAACATTACTAGCTTTCAAATCGCGATGAATTATCCTTAGACGGGAGTCTTCATGAAGGTATAGGAGTCCCTTGGCAATGCCTTTGATGATCTTGTATCGATTTTCCCAATCAAGAAGTGCACATTTAGTTCGATCTATAAATACCGTCAAAGAATTCCTTCTCAGTAACAAAACTCGTTACAAGAAAAAAGCCATTTCATGACACCTAAATTGTTGTTAAGTTGGTCAAATATCGGTATGTTCTTCTTTGAGAAGATCAAGTCCTGCTACTGCAAAAGTGTCACTAAATTCAATTGATAATTTGGTGCTATTTGTGAAGCTCATAAAAAGGGGACTTTTAAACACATAAAGGCTTTCATTTGGTCACTAAACCTACCAAAGACATAGCTCAATACAACATGCTAACCTAAAAAATATAGAAAACATAGTCTTTTGTGTGGTGCGACATGTGGGATAGATAGCCAATGACATTTGCTCGTATGAACTTACCAAATAGAAAATGATCCAGACTAATATTTGGCAGGTACTCGTAAATGAGAATTCGTTCTCTTCCTTGTAAGCTAAAACCAATTAAGCAGCCTAACCAAATTACGATGTTGAAGCTTTGCAACCAATAAAACCTCATTCTTGAATTCTAGGTCACCTTGCCCAGAATCCCACGCTAGCCTCTTTACTGCTATTTGCTGTCCGTCTCCGAGCATACCCTAATTATTATATGATAGTGTATATCAACAGTTAACAAAATATCAAGCCTCTCGATCATTGGCAGGTAATTTGTTCAATTAATTATACCTTGTAAACAGTTCCAAATCCACCTCTTCCGAGCTTATTGTCTTCAGAGAAGTCATTTGTGGCTGCTCTCACTATGCTAAAGTTGTATTGTAAAGATTCAGCTATGCTCATATCCATAGTTTCAGCTAGGAGGGTAGAGAGAGAAAGAGTTAGAAGTTTCTCTATCGAAGGAGTGATGTACGTAATATTATCAACCAAATGGTCAATTATGTTGTCCAAGTGTAAATATGAATTTTTCCTGCTTCTGAATAAGATATACTTGTTGTGTTGGTTTGATGTTGTAAATATGAACTTTAAACTACAAACTTGAAATTTACTCTCTGTATTTTCGGTCAGTGGCATTTGTTGCTTTTTCTTCTTCAATCTTACGAAGAAGCAAATGGATGCAATTATCATGACGATGCTGAATGCCACAATAGAAACAACTATCACGGTTCTTGTCGTGTTTGTCTTTTTATGTGCAAAAAAATTATTCATAAAAGAATACCTTAACATATATCTATATATCTATATATATATATATATATATGATCGATTTTATTACGTGCATAAAATAATTAGCTCCTAGGTATTTGATCCATCCAGGGCCGGCCCTGGCTATAGGCCCAAGGGGCGACGGCCCAGGGCAGCATAAAGCCCAAGGGCATCAAATTTCAAAAGGCCCAATGCATATATATATATATATATATATATATATATATATTCAGTTTTATTTTGGACCTAAAATAAGTTACCTTACCGCTTAGAGGAGAGGCAGTCCACGTCCAGGTCCATATCTCTAGTTCTCGGCTAACCTCGCGTCGCCTAACCTCGCTGTCGCCTGTGGCTCACTCTCAAAGAATCGCAATCGCAATCGCAAACGCTCTCCTGCCGGTTGCCCTCTCTCGTCTGCGGCTGGCTGGCCGACTGCCCTCTCTCGTCGCTCTCTGGCTCTGCCGTCTGCGACTCTGCCTCTCGCCCTCTCGGTTCTCGCTCTCGGCCTCTCGCTCTACTACAGAGAAAGAGGTTAGCACTTACTCCTTAGCCACTTRCYCACTTAGCAATTSTAGTTAGTGGTTAGGTTAGGGAATAATAACCGAATAGGGACTTAAGTATTAGGGTTATTTTATATTTTAATTACTTATTTACTTTACTAATTTTATTTCTTAAGTTTCTAATTCTTGTTAGTTGTTTGATTGTAAAACCTAATTCTTGTTTTATATTCTAATTTTATTTTTTACTCTACTGTTGAGGTTAGCACTTATTTACTTACTGTGGAATTAGAAACAAATGACAACCATTTGTTAATTTTAGGGTTGTTTTACTGTTTAGAAGTTGCAATAAATCATTYRTACATGTGCCATCGACGCCATCACCTGTACCAAGTACTGTTTAGGAGCAGGGGCAGGATTGTTGATTGTTATATCAATCTTGTGTTGTATAAGGAAGGGTGTTACTTCAGGTAGAATTAGACAAACAGACTTGTGACTAAAACACATGATGGACTAATGGAGTCATGCAATAGATAATTTCATAGGCAAACACCTTWAGTCACTAAAACTGGGAGGACAAAATTAGTGAAGTAGGAATGAGCCATTGATTTTGTAGAGTGTAAATAATTGAAGAAGAACCAACCAATTAAGTGTTTGGAGTTGGATTAAGAAGGTATGAGTGTTAATTTTAGTTTATACAGAAGAYGTGGGATGTAGTAAATAGGGACAAGTATTAGATGARTTGGTCTTATGATGCTCTTTATTTTGGTTCTGGACAAGTAGGTGAATTGGTGTTTAAATGCAAGGGCTATAACAACTCGATTAATGAAACCTTAACATATTATTTTAAAGCAAACACTCAGCTATAAGATCACACTTATAAACAAAAAAACACTAATGGATCTCTCGGTCTACGAAGGAAAAAGCTAGACAATTGTAAATTACCACACTTGGGTGTTTTTAATTGGGCATCATTTGGACTTTTCGCCGTGGGCACCAAAAATCTCAGGACCGGCCCTGGATCCATCCTTCCTTTCATCGGTCTCGGTTCGTGCCTACGGTTAACTCTAGGTGCATAGTCCAGTTTTAGCCATTTAAAGGTTTGGAGGACGATCGAGGCTAATCAAAACTCTTAAGGGTCGTTTACCAAACACTTACCAAGTAAGCGCTTACCAATAAAATTTAACACTATCAGTTACCTATCGGGTAAGATATTAGTCCACCAAAACGATATCGTATGCAACAATTTACCCAATAAGTGCTTACCGTGGTAAGAATCGTTGTCATCACTTACCAGGTAAGACTCTTAGTCTTTGTCTTGCTCTTACTGGGTAAGAATCTTGGTTCTTATTATATCCATTCGATAAATTAATGTGACTTGGTAAACGCTTGCTCGGGTAAGCGTTTGGTAAACGGCCCCTTAGTCAATGATTTTAGCATATGGCTCCTAACTTTGACAAACCATTTTATTCTTTTTTTTTCATGTTCGACTAAGGTAAAAATTGATTAAAAAACGAAGTATTCAATCAAGTTATACCTAAAATTAATTAATCAAGTAATCTACAACATCTTAAGGTAAATTTAGAAAGTATATATATATCAATTTATAGCAGATTAATAAGTTTTCAACCTAACTAATCCTAGTTTTAGGTAAGAGAATTTTTATTCTTTCTTTGATTTGAACCTGAAACCTTCCGACACTTTTGATATTTAAATACCAAGCTCAAACTAATCATACACCACTCTTATAGTTTCATTTATTTCATAAAATTATCGCATCATTTTTTGTCATGTTCATAAGCATTTTACAAAATTCTTTCTTTCATTAAAAATACTTACACTCCACAACCATGGAACACTTGCCATTTCATTAACGGGTCCCTCCAATTTAAAAAAAAATATAATAAATATAAATACGATTGTAAAAAATTAAAAGAAGTATTTTTAATTTATTACAATCTATTTTATATCAACTAAATTGAAATTCAATGGTGTCTATAATTCATCGGAAATGTGTAGACATCAACGATGGATAAGTGAAGGAAATTAAATTGGAAGAAATTATATTTTAGTAAATTAGTGTTTGAAATCTGTCGATATTTTATTAAAATTATGAACATATTTTTGAATGAGATAAAAAAACTAATTAACAAAATAAGAGTTTTTAAATCATATCAACAAATTACTAATGAAATTATGTTCATCGATATTTCATCGGTGATCAACTTGGAATTCCCTAGGATTTTCTATGCTTGATAATCAATACATCTTTTTTTTGAGTTATGAAAGTCTTTCTTTAGTAGTGATTGGGTTGGTTAAAATCCTCTTATTTTTAAAATTTCATGACAACTGGTTTTCTCTGGTATTTTTGAATGACTTCTTCTTGAAAACAATTATAATACTCATAAAACCAAAATAAAAGAAATTAAAATACACAAGAATAATCAACTACAACCACATAAATAAAGACCACGACGTACAACTAACCAACGTTCCACTGAAAAACTTAGGTGAGCCATCATTATTGCAACATGGTCCTCGCTTTTCACTTTTCAAAACTATATATATATTAAGTAAATTAGGTTTTTAGTACCAATCGTTTATTGAAATTTTTTGTTTTCGTTCTTATTATTTTAAAAATTAAAATGTTCGTCATTATGTTTATAATGTATTTTTTTTATGCTTTAAAATTTATTGTCTTTTTCATTATTATACTTTTATAATTTATTTCTATTTTAATCGTTTATACTTAAAAGTACTGTTTTTACTTTTAATCNCATGACATATTAGAATGAATTATTATTTTTAACATTTTGTTTTTAGTCATTTATATTTTTCAACTAGTTTCTCAATTAGTTTTTGTCAAAATAATTTAATTAATCAACTAGTTTATCAAATATAATTTTAACAAAATGATAATGTTATATAATATGTAGCACAATTTCGATGGTTAAAATTATTTATCCCGAAACATTTCATGTTTTTATAGTTTGAATAACTATAATTGATTGGTGGCATATATAAAAATTTGTTGACTTTTTGACCATCATTTATTTGTACTTGTATATTTTTATATTTTGAGCTTTATCTTATAAGAAAAACGTTATTTTAAATTATCTATAAAACCGTCAAACATGCCATCCAATAAAATTAGACCAAAGATCTAGTTTACCAAACTTGACTATAATATTCCTTTTTAATTAATATTCATCTTTTTCGGCCTCTGATATATATCTCAGCTATTAAAGTTTAGTTGGTAAAGTGGTGGAACGGTTTTGCCTTTCGTATAAGACAGATATTGAGTTTGATCTCAGCGTCTCAGTAATCTTAGCCGTTGAATAAGCCAAAAAGATGAACTTTTTACATAATTATATTGGTGTCCATTAAAGCAATTGAGATTGATGACAATTAATTTTTGCCCAAATATTAACCATTTTTTTTTGGGTAAATAACCAAATCCAATCATGTAAAATAACTATATTTGATATTTTAAAATTAAACGATAAATTAAATTATTTGAAGAAAAATACTTCTATCAATATAAACTTGACCTTAAAAATAAATTAATAGAAAAAGAATAACAATTGATGATACCTGTATAGTTTTTTATTAAATGTCTAAAAGTCATATTTCTTTGATAACGAAGCAAGCGTGTGTGTGTTTATTAGGTGTTCATCGTTTTTTAGTTACAAAGTTGCAGCGGGAAGTTGAAAGTGAGATCGAATTTTCAAAGACAATATATATATATATATATATATATATATATATATATATTAACGAGTTGCAAGATCTCAAACATGTTTGACCTTGGTGTAGATTAGTTGGATTAAAACCAGTGGCGGACGCAGAAAAATATATTGTAGGGGGCACAAAATTAACCAACAAAATTAACCTAAAAAAATTAACATACAAAATTAACCAACAAAATTAACCTAAAATTACGTAACCTAAAGCATTAACCAATTAGTCAATTACCACAAAATTAACCAATAAAATTAACCTAAAATACCTAACCTAAAACATTTACCAATTACCACAAAATTAACTAACAAAATTAACCTAAAAATAAAATACCTAACCTAAAGCATTTACCAATTACCAACAAAATTAACCTAAAAAAAACCTAACCTAAAGGCTAAACTCTAAAGCATTTACTAATTACTAATAGAGTAATAGTGGCTCAAATGGCAGAAATTACAAATTAGAAAATAGAAATTACCTAGGTTAAGGACTTAAGGTTACGGAGGCGCACAGG